AGCGAAGTGTGAAAATCAAAAAACAAGAAAAAAAGAAAACCCTGGAAGAGGAAATACAAGGGAGGCGCTCACGCCTCTGGCTCCCCGCACACGTGCCGTCATCACCCCGAGAACTGTCTTCAGACCAGCGGATTTCCTGGGAGAAACGGGACGGCAAGGCCTGTTTGTGAGGGGGACGGATTCACAAGTGAAAATCTAGCTTCTCCTTAGGTTATCTGACTGTGTGGGGAGCTCCGCTGTGCTCTTCCCACTGCGCAGCCCTAGAACTCGTGCCTTTGAAGGGCGGGACATATCATTTGTACGGCTGCTTGGTTTTCCTCCGTGGTGGTGTTTGTGGGAGGGTGAGAGGTTTTCCTTCTGGGTAAATTTAGGTCCTCACGAGAGCTGTTTCTAAATTGTCCTTGATACTGCAAATAGAAAAAGTAAAATAGAAACGTTTTATATCATACTTATAACCGAAGGCTACAGCAGTTATAAAAGAAGTATGATGGCTTTTGCCATTTACTGTTTATGTCCCAACTTGTAAAGAGCTATGAAAATTCTAGGTTAAGCTAGAAAGACAATAAATGAATGGAACCACCGAGCACTGAGAGCCTCAGGCAGAGCGTGAAGGAGGCCAGGCAGTCCCGCCTGGGCCACTGTCCTAGCTTACGGACCGTACTGCAACTTAACAGCACGCGTACCAGGCCAACGTAGGCAGGACTTGGGGGAGTTCGCAAAGTCGCATTTGGGACCACAGCAATCAGACCTTTATTTCCGCGTCTGCGTCAGACACAGCGAATGAGTCACGCGGGCACACAGGTCCTTGCACTGGGGGCTTGTGAGCCGTGCCTCCCGTCTTGTGACGTGGAGAACTTTGGATGGAACCGAGCACAAATGTACTCTCACGTCCATCGCAACCCCTTCTCCTCTGTCCTGTCTCCACAGCTCTCTGACTATTTCCCGCTGGGTTAGTCCAGTGCTCAGTGAAAGCTGATTCAGCCGGAAGAGGGTGAAGCAGAGGCAGAGCTGCCCAAATACAACCCGTGGGACCCAGCGGTGAGACCGACAACGCGCGTGCGGCTCCGAGGCAGGACAGGACCCCCAACGTGAGCAGTGAGGTTCTGCAGCCTTTCGCTCAAGAGAGCAGTGAGAATCACGGCTTTGACTGGCACGCTTTTCTGAGTGTCTGTAGCACACGCAGGATACACACGCGCACCACTTGGACGAGGAGCTGCGTGTCCTGTGTGTGGACAAACAGGGCAACAGCCGAACCGCTCTTAAAAGTCTCTTTTCTGATAGAAGATGCACGACGCATAATGTTCACAGAGATTGACTTTATTTTACCTTAAATATAGTTGCATTTTAAAAGCTTCAATAAATTTAACGATTAAAAAAATCAAAGATACCAACACATTTGTCATGGTCCAAATATGATTCCACATATTTGCTTTAACGAAGTCATTTGTAATAGGTTTTTCATATTTATATTCTTAGGTAATCGCTTGTATTTTTTCTCTTTAAATATACTGCCCATTAGTCTGTCCAGTGAATTTTCTGGGGAAAAAGAAAGATGCATGTTACTTGTAGTTCTTTAAAAAAAACAAACAAATAACAATACTGGATTTTAGAAGTGGAAATTTTATTATCATCAAATTCTGCCCCGTTCTCACAGATAAGGGAGCAGGGTGAGGAGGGAGGGGGCACCTCTCACACGGCACAGCCGGAGCGAGGAGGCAGCCTGGCCCTGTCCCCGCCTCAGCCCTGCCACAGAGCACGCCCACCTGGGCCACCCGGCGGCCGCTGCCACCCCCATGCCCGTCCACCTGCACGGAAACACTGCCAGGACAGCAGAGAAGGTTTCTATGGTGATTTCATTTTACAGTTTTCCCTTCATAAAAAATGCTGAAATAACACACAGTATTTCCCACTTCTGGGAAAAAGAAGAGGGGGATTTAATTTTTTTCCTAGTATTGTACAGAATATTTTGCAGACCCAATTTTAACAGAGCTAAAAATCAGCAAACAGACCTGCTAGGAGAAATGCTTTGCAGCCTGTTTTTCAAAGCAGCACTGTGTCCCTCAAAACTTTTCAAAGGAATGAACTTGTGCTCAGCCCCCGCTCCAGCACCAGCGGTCAGCAAACGAGCACAGGGCTCTGAACACAAAGGGGCGAACCTGAGGCCCACAGGTGGGCCGGTGAGCTTGCAAGGGGACAGGCTGGACACAGAGTGACGCGAGGGTGACAGGACCGCTCCAAGGCAAGCATCATCGGAGAGACAAAGTGAGGGGGTGGACCCTGGGCTTAGACGGACAGAGATTTGAGGGTAGGGGGCTGGAAGTGGACCTGCAGCTCAGTAATGATGGAGCGCCCCGGTGCTGGCGCGGCTGGGGGCTCACGGAGGACCTGGGCGGCGTCTGCCGAGCCCGGAGGGGACGCAGGCAGGGGACCCAAGTGGCCGGAGAGCCTCCTCAGGACGGAATGAAAGCTTGAAAACAATTGCTTTTTAGCTTTTAAGCAGTACTTCTTGATTAGTTTTCAACATTAATGTTTCCTGTAACGAACTTAGAATAGAAATACATTTAAATAAATACTTTTTAGGGAGTCTTGGCATTTATGATTCTTTAATGTTCGGTCTGAGCAGCTGGGGCTGGTGTCAGAAAGGAGTAAGTATCTGGGTGGTTGTGCCACAATACCTCTGGTTTTGGTTGCAGATGGTTTCGAGACGAGAAGGAACCCCCCCCTTTCCCCTGCATTTTAATTCACAAGAATTATTTTAAGTGGTTGTTGGAATCTTTGCTATTTCCTTACCGTATTTAAAAAAATTGAATTTACTATCTGATTTAGTCAGTTTATAGCTCATAATTTCTATTCTAGCTCTGAAATTAATGGGGTTTATGCCTGAAGCCCAGGAGGAATGACGCTGCCGGGACCCTGGCCGGGCGGGCAGCGCAGTGGTTAGTGTGGTCTTCGCCCCTTCAAGGCCACTCAGCAGGTCCCTCGTGACATTTACTGTGGCCTCTAGGCATCAGCAGTTACTTTTTAAAAGAAATGGATTATGTACCTTGAAACCCAGGAGCTATTAAATTATTTAAAGTTTTAAAATCTGATCAGATGTTACCAGCAAAGCAAAGCTTCTCCTAGAGAGAAGGGCGTGCTCCGCACGGAACCCACATGCACGGTGCCGAAGGTGGGGCCCCGTGGCTCCCGCCTCTCCTCCCTCAGCGTGGCTGGAGGCGCAGCTACTTCGTCTCCAAGGGACCCGACAAGGGGGAGGTGGCTCAGGAGGCGGTCACTTGGGGCCCTGCCAACAGTCTCTAGTAATTAGGCATTTTCTACTAACGCCTTCTTCTATCACAGATGTAAATTTTAAAAAAATCCACAATTAGGAGGCTGCGTTTTTATTTTAGAAGAAAGTGAAAAATGAAAATTTCAAGACCAGTGGAGACACACCCAGACGTGGGTTCCATCTGGGCTGCCTGCCCTCCCTGACCTTCCCGGGAGAAGCACCACGGGAACTCAGCTGCCGTCAGTGGCCGCCGCTCCAAGGTCCACTTTGTCCATTAGAATAATCAATGAACGCCATTCAGAAATAATAGTACATCCTGCATTTTATTCAGTTCCATGTGACAAAAATAGTAACCTAGACTAAGACATCCATTTCAATCAGTAGATGTGTCAAGCCACAGATTTCATCATAAAAAATAGTGGATCTGGGAGGCGGCTCCCCGCTGGTTCAGGGAGGCCCCTGGCCCTACACGGTGTTGCAATAGAAAAATAGTGTCTCTTCCCCACGGGGAGGGCGGCCGCGCCCTGCCCGCGGCGGGCCCGCCGCGCTGCCCGCCGCGAGCCGTCTTATTTACAGCACTTTACATTCCTCTTCTCTTAAGTTATATACACATCCTGTCGGGAGGAGAGAACACCACATGGTACCAAATGCTAAGCCAAAAAAACCAAAAAAAAATACATCACACCAAAAAGGACACAGATAAATAAGAACATTCACTGCTGAAACACAGCAACACTGAGCACCTCAGTTTTCTGTTCCCGATGCTGGGACAGGCCTCACCCACCCGCTCCGTGGAAAACAGAGCTGTGGAGTTCAGTGTTCATTTCCCACGGAAATGACCCCTAGGTCTGCTTATCTGCGAGTCTCTGAAACTCTGTTCAGTGACACGGCGTGATTTGCTGTGGCTGTGTTGGAAAGATTGTCCTGTTTTTCTGTTTCTACACCTTCCTCACCTCCTCGCGCAGCCCCCGCCCCACGAAAAGCCCGGGGCGCCGCTGCTGGCGGAGGGTCCTGGCCTCAGACTCCAGCACGCCTGCCATGCACGGGATGAGGTAGAACACGCGACACTTCCGTGCAGCCCACGCCCGGCCCTGCGCCCGGGCCCTCCTCACTCGGAGCGGCCCGCACAGTCACCAGCACGAGGCTGGATTTTGAGTGATCAGAGGCCAGTGTGCTTCGTTTCCATCTGAGACGATAATAAGTCAATCAGGAACGCGGCAAATTTCCCAGTTATGCCTGATTACACCGCCTGACGCCCGGAACTCTCTCCAGCTCCTTGAGCACAACCGCAGTGCTCCCAGCAGGCAGGCTCTCCGCCGGGGGCGGGTGAGAAACGGACGGCAGGGACCACAGTCAAGTCAAACCTGCGCAACGTTCTCCAAGTGACTTCCTGGCTTGTATCAGTGTCAACAGTCCTAAGATTAATTCATCAAAGTTTCGCTAAGGGTGGTCAAGTTTTGTAGAAAAGTTAAATAGATCATTTACTTCAAGAAATGCAGGCCCTAGTTTGCTGGGGAGCTGACAAGTCTTGGGGGCCTTTCTGTTTAAGGAGGACAAATTCCTCATACCTGTCTGGCCTAAGACTGTGACAGCTTTTTTTTTTTCATTTTCCTTCAAAGTACTATTTATAAAATACTTTACATCTTTTAAAATTTTCAAATTATAGACAAACCTCCCTAATACAAAATACTAAAAGTGCAACAGTATAAATTAAGAGTTTGCAACCACATCATACAAACATTACCTTTTTTATTGTACAGCTGTGATCATGTGAACTATTTCCTCACAACTGCTACCGTGTTGTGAATAATTTATGACGTCTGTCTGCAACTTGTTCCCACACTAGAGACCACTGTCCACAAAGCAGCTAAACATTTAAATAATAATAAAAAAAGGCTTGTTACTGACAGGTGCTCGCACACAAAATGCATGCTCTTTCCCAACAGAACTTCACAATTTTGCCTGCATGGAAATAACCCACTTATTTATAGCAAAACAAATCTTGCTTAAAAAAAAAACTCACATAGCCAGATGTATTCTGCAGTACAAAAGCTTCCATTAAAGTTGGGCTGTATTGTCTGTTACCCGCATAATCTCAACATTATAAATACTACAGACACAGACAAGACGCTGCCGTGAGACTGCGGCGGCAGGACTAGACCACGTCTTCAAGATAAGAGTTCAAGAAGCAGAGTTCAAGTTTCTAACTAATTCGAACAAAACCACTGAAGGAGTTTGTCTGGAACAGGGCGGGGAGCCCTTCCCTCTGGGGACTGGCAGGGTTTAGGAGGAACAGGATGCATGTGGTCTGAGCCCTTTCTGTTCCCAAGGCGGCTTTCCAAGGACTTCTTTCTGACTTAAATTTATTTAAAAGGTTACAGAGTTCTCGAGAGCCGTCAGGCTCACCGGGGCTTACAGGCCCCCTTTCCGCACCACGTGGTGACATTTTTTCAGCTCTGGGTAAACCGTCAGGGAGGCCGGCCTTGCCCCGGCGCACGCAGGTTAGCTAGTTAATACCGACCTCCTTGTCGTCCTGGATGAACGTTGTGAACGGACGGCTGGCCCCCGTTTCCGCCCCGTTTCCGAGCTGGCTTTGTCCAAACCCATGATGGGCGGGCTGCCGCCGGTGCGCGCTTTGTCCAGCCCGGCGGTCAGGGAGCCCAGGGTGGGGAGGGCGCTCCCGCCGAGACTCACGGGGAGCTGGGGGATGCCTCCGTTCTGGATGACGGAGATCTCGTTGTTCTTCATGGCCAGACCATTGGTGATGGCGGCGGCGTACTGGTTCCAAAAACTGGGGTCAACGTTCATGGCTCGTGCGGCCAGATCCTTCTGGAACATCTCTGAGAACTTGAGGGCGTCACCACCCAGCAGGGCCATGGGGTTTTCCACCGAAAGGCGGCGGCCGCGCCTCGCGGGGGCGTTGTTCCACATGTGCGTGCCCATGTGCACCTGCGTGGGGACATGAGACAAGCCCGAGTCAGCGGGCCCTGCCGGCCCGCTCGCCGCAGTTCAGAGGCACCTGGAGACCCAGGGTCTCCCTCATGTGTTTCCTTTCCTTCCACCCAGCCAGAGTGTCAGTTTGGGACCACAAAACTTGCTGGGTGAGATTTTCTGGGCATCTTATACTTTAATACGCAATACTTTAAGTCCAAAAAACCAGCCAGCCAACTAGCTTATAAATGTTTCTTCCAGTTCACAAACTTGAGAGAAAAATTTCCCCCTGTGCTTTAAGACCCACAGGCCACCCAGAGCTCAGCAGACACAGGGCCCGGCGCCTAGTGCTCCTCTGAGCCCTGCCCCCAGGACGTCTTAGACTCGGAACTCCTGGCTCCACCGCGCCTCTCTCTGGCTCCCTACCAAGCACAGTCTGGGCATCCACGGTCGGCAGAGAACTGAGGGAGCTTTCATCCTGCCAGTATGTGGCAGGTACTGATCTTTCCACGGTCTCTGAAGGGGTCACTGAGGCCCAAACAGGCACCTGCCTGAGGGTGTGAGCACAGCCCGGCCACGGCACCAGCGCCTGGTCACACACTGCCTCCCGGGCACGTGCACCGTGGTCGTATCTCAAAGACGGATGTGACGCCGCCGCGCTGCCTTCCTGACTCTCATGCTGGGAGTCTTCCCCCAAGTGCCCCCACCCCTGCAGCCACATGGACAAAACCACAGAACTGACCCCGGGCCTCCAGACGGGACTTGCATGGGTGTCGTCCACAAGTGTTTAAAGGCCCGGTTATCTCGGTATCAGCAACCCTCAAGAGGTGGGGCAGTGCCGGCCTCGGGCTTCCCACGGTAGCAAGTGTGCCACCCCAACATGCTGTGGCCACGCAGGCCGCATGAGCCCCTCGAGGGGAGGCCACTGGACAGGTGTGAGAGCACAGGCATGCACGCTCACGGGCGTGTGTGCACACACCACACGCAACACGCACACGGGCACATGCACAATGCAGACTCTCCCATGACACAGGCATGCACGCATGTGCATGCACTCACCCACCACACACGTGCAGGCACACACATGCACACAGGCTGCACGGGCATGTGCCGGGGCGTCCACGCCCTCACCTTGAGGTTGCCCTTGGTGGTGAAGGCTCTCCCACAGACGCTGCAGCCGAACGGCTTCTCCCCGGTGTGGGTGCGCTCGTGGATCTGCAGGGCGCTGGCCGACGAGAAGGTCTTCCCACACGACTGGCAGTTGTGCTGCTTGGGCGTCCGGCGCGGCGGGGGGGCCAGCATGGGCGCGAGGCCGGGGCTCATCACCGCCTGGGGCCCCGCGGCCACCTGGACCGCGGCGGGCAGCGGCGGGCCCTCACCCAGCGGGACGGCCTTGCTGTGCCCGTTCACTTCCATTTTGATCATGGTGGGTGCGGAGCCAGGGACCAGGCTGGGGGTGCTTTGGCTGGGACCTAGAGCAAAGTTGGGGTCAAGTAACTGAGAAGGCAGCTCCCTCAATCTGTGGGTCAGTAAGTGCTGTTTTAAATTACCCAGGGTGGAGCAGCCGCGCCCGCAGACCGCGCAGACGAACGGCCGCTCCTTTGTGTGGCTGCGGTGGTGGATCTCCAACGCGCTCCTGCAAGCAAAAGGCTTGGCACAGACACGACACACAGTGCTTGCACACTTACCCCGTTCTCTGCCCAGGAACAGCAGGCTAAAGGGGGCCTCCTCCTTGACGGCCGGCCGGCTGGGGTGCATGGCCGTCAGGTCCAGCGCCCCTCCGTTCTCGGGGGCGGGGGGTGGGCTGTCCGGCCGCTCCGTCTTCAACGGAGTCTCCTGGGGCTCGTCCTGGGCGCTGAGGCCCGGGGACTTGGAGTGCGGGCTCTCGCTGGCACTGTGCAGGGGTGACAGGGCCTGCATGGAAGAGGACGACTCGGAAGGGGCCGGGCTGCCCGCGCTGCGGCTCTCCAGGTCGCCCACGGCGGATGAAGAGTCGTTGCTCAGTCGGTCGCTCTCCCCAGACCCGTTCTCCATGGACTTCAGGGCGGTCAGCTGCGGACAGCTCATGACGGAGTCCATCATCTTCATCTGGTTCTCCAGCGCCGCGATGCTGGAGATGACAGAGGGCGGTGAGGGTGGGCAGGAGCCCGAGAAGGCCAGCAGGGGCTTGGATGGGTCGCCGGCCGCGTCCTTCAGCTCGGCGTCCTCCTCCAGGGAGTTCTCGTCCATGTCCTCCTCGTAGGCGCTCAGGGCCTCGGCCGCCTTCTCGTCGAAGGGCAGCTCCGCGTCCATGGCGTCCTGCAAGCCCTCGGGCAGCGGCGTGTTGGGGATCTGCCCGCCCATGTGCATGCGGATGTGCTGCTGCAGGACCACTGCGTTGGTGAACTTCTTCTGGCAGATGGGGCAGGAGTGCTGCACCCGCAGGGGCGGCTTGGCTCGGTGGACCCCGAAGTGTGTCTTCAGGTTGCCCTTGGTGGTGAAGGCGCGCCCGCAGATCTTGCACTTGAAGGGCCGCTCGCCCGTGTGCGTGCGGTAGTGCATCTTGAGGGCGCTCTGGCAGCTCAGCACTCGGTGGCAGATGACGCACTGGTTGGGGTCGGTCATCTTCTTGTCGATGTTCTCCACCAGCTGCTGTAGCTTGGAGGTCTCTGACGTCTGCATAGAGTCCAGCAGCCCTCCGAAGGGGAACTTGGCCTTGAACTGGTCGGAGCCGGCTGGGAGGACTGGGCTGCAGAGGCCTGTCGATATGCTGCTGTCTGTGAGCGAGGGGGCCACCACCGTGGAGGTGGCGGGGGCGTCTCCCGCCCTGGCGCTGGCGCCAGGCAGGCTCCCGGGCTCGGCTTTGGTCAGAGAAGAGCTACCAAGCACCGGCTGTGGGGACACGGCGTTCACTGGGACGCCCGACTCGGAGCTGTTGAGGCCCGGCGACAGGGAGGCGCATTCGCTGGACGCGGGCGAGGGCCGCTGCGGGGAGCGGCTGGCCGGGGTGAGGCTGGGGGAGTCGGCGAAGCTGCCGACACTGGGGAGAGTGGGTGGAAGCTGCAGCCCGACCGACGTGGGCACGGTGGGCAGCACCGGCTTGCTGTCCAGCCAGGTGGTGACCGGCTTCTCCGGAGGCAGCGACATGCCGTAGGGAATGCCGGAGCAGGTGGGCACGTTGTCCAGGTACTCGGGGACGGGGTAGGGGTTCATCTGGATGTGGGGGTACTTCTCCTTGTGCCTCTGGAAGTGGACCTTCAGGTTGCCCTTTGTGGAGAAGCGGTTTCCGCAGATGTTGCACTTGAAGGGCCGCTCGCCCGTGTGGGAGCGCAGGTGGATCTGCAGGGCACTGTCGCTCCCAAACACCTTGGCACAGAACCTGCACTTGTGCTTGAAGAAGGGGTCCTCGGCGCTGGCCTTGGGCTCAAACACTGACACGTTGGGGGGCTTGCCCTTGCGGTGCTTCATGAGGGCCGACAGGGGGTCCAGCGCGTTGGCCGTGGCCGCGATGCTGACCAGCGGGTTGGGG